CCTTAGATTTATGTTATTTAATATTTCATTCAAATGGGGCTCATAGAAATGATCTTGATTATTAATCTTTGTATCAGAATATTTTAAGACTATATCAATATATACGAGTTATAGGTGTATTATCCTGCCTATAAAGTGTGTTTATTTAGAAGTAGGATTGCCTGTTCATAAGTAGTTCTGTCTATGTTTGGAGAAATCTTCCACTCTAATTTGAGCCTTGTCAAAAATCATGAGTATAATTTTGTGCTTTTTCGCACACCTATCCCACAAGAACCATGCTACCAAGACAAATAGCTACTTTTTCTTCTACAAAACCTAGTCTGTGACGGTGAGGAAAAGAGAGGGTCACAAAGTCATTAGGTGACTTGCAGTACGAATAGAGAACTCTGGTGACCACAGTCATGATCAGGGGCCAAATCCTGGCCAGATTTTTTCATTTCCAATTTCTTTGTCACCCTGCCTTCACATATTCTTTTATCAATATCTTATGTGTATCCATCACGCATTTTTTTTCCTGAGTTTCCTCAACCATTTGTAACCCTTTTCAACTCCTTGTTAAAAGAGTTTTATTTATTCTTGATTCCTTTGATGAGAGCCTATAAACATCTTTGATTTGGTGGTTGCTTTAGAAGAATGCCTGTTGTTCCATCCCATACGTTGATAGTTAGTATTCTAGAGCCATATAATGCTGAAGTTCAAGAGGACTTCTGAGGTCAGGCTGTCCAAATCTGTCATTAAGTAGATGCACCAGAGAAGCTGCTACAGCAAATAATGATGTAGTTCGAACCCCAAATTCCAGGCTCTTTCTACACCATTATGAAACCAGAGTAATAAGAGTTGTTCCATGCTTAGTCCTATTGAACAAGACTAAAATTTAAAGTGGTTTATTCAGTTATTCCTTCTGTATTGGTATAACTAAATGATCCCTTTAGTGCCTTAATGATTCCATACTACGTGATATTTCACTCTTTCATTTATTTCAAACTTCTACTTCCTGGTTCTGACCCACCACTCCTTTTTTGTTTTTTTTCTTTTTTTAGCTGAGCCATCCTGCCACCTGTTGGCAGCTCAGCTCGGGCCAGGAATCAAACCAGTGACCCTGTTGCTCAGAGCTCGCACTCCTGAGTGAGCTCTTAACCAACTGAGCCACTCAGTCGGCCCCTACCACTCCTTTAAACAGTCCCATTTTATTTTTGGTTTCATTACCAAGTTTTACAGGAAAATTTCTTGTGACATGGCTCCTCCTGTTCCCCCTAATTTTTTTTCTTTTAATTTCCTTATGAAACTTACTATGCTTGAGATAACACGAATAGGGAGCAACAAGGCTGTGTTGTGTTGTGGAGGCTAGGTGGTTTGGCTAAGCATACTCATTGGCTAAGTGACTCATCCAATACATTTGTCGTCTGGTATGTGTAATTCAAATGTCTGCCTCAACAAAATGGCAAATTGTCACAGACTTTCATCACAGATAATCAAAAATGTAGAGAATTTTTTTTAAGAGGTATAGTTTGGGTTTTCATATGCCTATCAATAATTGGGTGGGTTTATAAGAAGTATATTTTGCCTAAATTAATAATTTATCAAAGATATAATGAATTAATATTACCCTCTCTTATTTTTTGCAGGGGGCCATTCATGCCAAATATGATGCAATTGATAAAGATACTCCAATTCCTACAGATAGACAAGTATGGCTTAAATTTTTTTAAGCGACTTAAGATAATTTTGCTAAATCTTTAAATAAGAAAAGAGGAATTATTTTCCTTTCATTATGAATACTCAGCAGCTATCACATGCATATGGTATTAGAGTAAGCATGATTCTTGTCATCGGTTAGTGAGTTAGAACTGTTTCTTAAAGGAGTTTAGGCCAAGTAATTTTTCTTAATAGTTGTACTTTTTTAACTGAAGAATTTGCCCTTTATTTAGACGGGGTTGTAAAGGAAGTTTTTTTGGAAACTGTATTAATACATACCTTTTCAAAAGAATTGGTCTGTTTTTCTTGTTTAAGTGTACAACCTTTTTGTTATTTGCATAGTATAAATATAAAACACCAGAATTATATAAGTTCTCTGTTCTGAAATTTGTAATACAGTCTCTCCTTTTCCTTACATTGGGGTTTATTGGAGATCATGCTATTACAGTTCTACCTTATTGTTTTGCTGTTTACAGATTGAAGTGGATATTCCTCGTTGCCATCAGTATGATGAACTGTTATCATCACCAGAAGGTCATGCAAAATTTAGGCGTGTGTTGAAAGCCTGGGTGGTATCCCATCCTGATCTTGTGTATTGGCAAGGTAACTTTACTTTCCAATTTTTAAGACTCTTTTTGAAGTATTAGCATATTGCATGACTGACAGTTTCAAAAATTAAAACGAAATATCAAAACATCCTTGGCTTTTAGAAAGTTAACACTAAAGCTATGATCCATTTTTTTGAGAGGTTTATATGAGAACTTCTTTTTAAACTTTGTCTAAATGCGTAGTAGTTTTTATTTAAATGCATGGTACTTAATGAGACAATTTGTCACACACTAATTGCAAAAGCAGGAAGAATATTTTGTGCAGTAGTAATCTTTGTGGGTACATTTTTTCAGTGCTTAGAAAAACAATAAAATAATTTTATACCATAAATAATTTTGGGCTAGTTAATATTAATATTCTCACAATTTAATGATTTAAAGTTTATGCTTAACATAAACTTTATTAGGAATTAGGGAATAGGATACCACTCTAAACTGTTCATTTAATTTATTATCTGTAAAAAATGTATTTTTAATGTTCCATACCCTTGATTTTTTACCTTTCTCATTACTTTTATGGTCATTGATAGATCTATGAATGAGAAACTCATTCCACCCAGTGCTATATTTGAATTTGTTGTAATGAACAGTATTTTAAAAATATTTTAATTCTCTGTTTCTGGCCAAACTTAAAATGAAGCTATTATTTTTCCTAGCTCTGTCCATTTTATAGTTCTATATCTTCCTAACAAATATAAATTTATGTATATTCTTTCAACATGACAACATATAAACAGTAATATTATCAATAAAAGGAATATGTCATATTTTTGTATTTCACTTCACAATGTTTAAAGAATTTTTTTCATGCTACCAAAGAAATGCCTAAGACAAATCTCCCAGATGAGGAAACATGCCTGAAGATGTTAAGTGATTGCCAAAATGCACTGGGTCAGAGATGGGACGATGTCCCAAGCCTTCTATCATTTTTACATTTTTCTATTAGTATATTTATCTCTTTGACTCATAATAATATTAATGATAACACCTGATTTTTATTGGGCATATACTATGTGCCAGTCACTGTCAGTTACTCTCCCACAGTAAGCCATGAGGGATGGATAGTGTTTATAATGCTTAATCTATATAAAGGTAGTGCACAGAACTGAATAAGGTANTGTTTTATTAGGTATTTGAATCATACGTGTTCAAAGTATGATTTGAGAAATTTGAATCCTTTTTATTAGCATCTTACTTTTGTCTTAATTTGTATTAATGTCAAAGTAAAAATAAACCTAACGAGCTTTTAATTAAGAGATATGTATTTTAAAAGTATCTTTTTAATAACCTGCATGTAATTTTAAAAGATCTTTTCCATTTATTAAATTTTATACTAATTTTAGTAATTCCTAATTGTATTTGGAAAATACCATAGTAGTTGTCTAACATTCATTTACAAGAGACATCTGCAAGTAGAAAAAAATCAAAATACAAAAATTTAGTCTTCACAACTAAACTTAATCACTAGTTACATAATATATTTGCATGTTTATGATGGGAATGAATTTTAGATTGTATTTTATACCTTTTTTGGTATCTTTATGAATTCATTATTTTTCCTTTTAAACACAGATTGGTGTTTCTGTCTGAAATCCTCATACATAAATATTTTCTCTATTTTCTCTTTAAATTCACAGAGATTAAAAGATGTTGGTGGGGAAGCATTTTACCCACTACTTGAAGATGAGTAAGTATGTATAGCATCCTTTTCCACTTATTTTCCTTTTCTGTTTATGTTAGATTGGTAAGATGCTTAACTATTTTCTTTGAAAAGTACTTTGTAAAAAGAACACATAATATGGTGTTTTTTAAAAAAATTTGTACATTTTGTCATTTTTTCTGCTTTTTCTCTTTTACAGCCAGTCTAATTTACCTCATTCAAATAGCAGTAATGAGTTGTCTGCAGCTGCCACTCTCCCTTTAATTATCCGAGAGAGGGACACCGAGTACCAACTAAACAGAATCATTCTCTTTGACAGGCTGCTAAAGGTAGGGATTCCAAAATGCGAAGTGTTGTAACAGCCCGTATGCATCCTTATTATTCGTTTCATTGGTAATTCTTAGGGATTCTTGAATGTCATGAGAAGACTAATTCTTATGACCTATCTTTTCTGATTAACATGTAATTATAAAAATGATATGTGTTCATAGTACATAAAATTAAAAAGTAAAAACA